TAGGCTACTATATATTGATTCCGTAATACCTGAAAAAGTTACGTTGGTGATTAAGAATGCACAACTAGCATTATAAAATTGAAATTGTCACTGCAAGATGCTTTTTATCAAAAAGTTTACCTAGATTTTTACTATCTAGGAACGATTGCGCAATAATAGTGTGAACCAATGATATATTCGCTCATTAACGGAATCCAAAAAAATAAATTATCAGTTCAGTTGCTTTCTTTGAATTTTGGCGTGCACCTTTTCAAATAAATATTTTGCAATTTGTGAAAAACAATATGTTTTTGATGATATACAAATTAAAATGATCAATGGAAAATTGCAACACTAACCGTCGAACATTAGCAATCAAAACTAACCTCGAATATATCTTTAATTTGCAATGGTGGGAGAGACAGATCTCAACGCATAACCAAACAAAATGTGCAACTAACAATGTATTAGAATTCAAATAGTGCATATGCAATCAATGAATCGCTTTCATCTTATTTTTGTTTTGTTACATATAGTTAAATTAATTACTTTCATATAGCTAAGTTTAATGCTTATGCTACTTTATAATCAGAAATTATAAAATTTCTTATTAGCGAGTGCAATTTAAACGGCAATATTTGAGAATTATAACAAACTTTGTTACAAATATATTTAGCCATTTACGTCAGTGCAGCAAGAGTGCGGAGAGTGAGAGGTGTTGGGAACACACGATTTATTTTAACTCAGTTGCCGGCGCCAGCGAACTAAGAAGACTCTGCCTGGCATACACAAAAGGTTAGCTTGCATCTACTCCGTCGTCAACAGTAGATTTAGACTAGATGGTAAAGGCACCAGATTTTCCACTAGCCAAGATTGATAAACGTCTGGGTTTGAATCCCTGTGACAGCTATATAGACGCTTTTTGTGTTTGTAAAGCAGGCTAAAAGGAAAGAGAGAGAGGGGTGCTGTGTTGAGTCCCCCCGGGAGTAGATGATTTTTTAAATATTTTAACAACAATCTAAAAATAGAAAAAACACTCCAAGAATATTTTATCCAAAAACCATGTTAAAAAGTCCAGTTTATAGCCTTTTAGTTTTTACCCTAATGGGTTATTTTGTAACAAGGTGTGTTAAAAATATGATATAACCCTAACAATAGTTGTTATATTCTTGATAGTACGTAGAAGATTTCTTGTTATATTTGACCATGTTACAGATAATTTTATACCTCAGTAACACAATTTGTATTATTTCTGATACTTCCTCCTGGTCGGGATGTTAACCGTTCCTGTCAATGCGTATCAACTACGGACATAGCTAGCGAACGTGACCTAGAATAGATTCAAACAAACTCAGTTTGACGGAAAAAGAGCTAGCTGAATATTTAGTCGAAGGCATTGCATTTCGAAACCAAGCAAGAATTCAGAATTTTAGAACTGTCAGTGAAGTAATTCAAGCCTTTCGGATGATACGATTCAACGCAGCACCACTTAGGAAGAATATGAAAGTATGCCTTTCGTGTAATCATCCAGGACACTTTGCGGTGGATTGCACAACTAACTTCAACCAGATGCGATACGAACAACGTGGAAGAAATTTGTTTCTTCCATAGCAGAAGCAATATTTTAGAGGACCACGATTCAATAAATTATAACGAACAGGTACAAATTTCGAATTTTTGTGTGACCCTTTCGCACGGGTGTAGCAACAATTGGACCTCAGATAGGTTCTCGACCAAGCACACGAACTGCAGATCGTAGAAAAGCACGGTTATCTCGGAACGCCTTTCGAAAGCAACTGAGGTGGCCTACTTCAGACAGAGATACACTATTAATATTGACGGAGATACACTATTAATATTGATCAACAAAACACGGCGGCCAAATCCCGCGCAAGGAAGCTGTATCGAGAGTGTTTAACGAAACCGATGTGTGTGGTTATGAATGACGAAACCTACATCAAGGCAGACGCAAAGCAGATACCGAGTCTGGAGTTCTACGTTGCCAAATCACGGTTTGATATTCCAACATAAGGAAGAAGAAAGTGGACAAATTCGCCAAAAAATACTTGCTCTGGCAGGCCATATGCCAATGCGGTAAACTGAGTAAACCGTACATCACAATGGGTACCATCAACAGCGAAATTTACCGCACCGAGTGCCTCCAGAGGCGTCTGTTGCCCTTCCTGCGGTCCCACGGAGGCGAGACATGCGAGTGGGTGAGTCGAGTATGTCCTATTTGAATCCGAGTTCAGCTTCATTTCATCCTTGTTTAGCAAGGTTGTCTGCTTCTTCGTTTCCGGTAATGCCGGAGTGCCCTGGAATCCAACTGAATGAGACGTTTCGGCCTTCTACGGATTTTTCGACACATTGGATCCATGGATGTTTAGATCGACCACTCCGTAGGGCATCGAGACAACTTGCAGAATCCGTCAGTACGATTGTGTTTTGCTGTTTATGGTTTTACGATTTCCTTGTTTGTTCCCGCTCTGATAGTGCTTCTCAGATGATTGTCGATTTGTGGAGTTGGTGTGTGCCAATGTCTATCAGTGACCCTTAGAATGCTGCTTACCTTGGGAAGGGAGAATCCGGCAGATTCTTGCAGAAGTTCTTTAGCTCGTTTTACAACCGGATAGTCGATCGTACTTGGGTTTTTTCAACGAGTCGTACTGCTAATTGCGAAAGACGTTGTGTGAGTGCTAGTCGGAAGGGAAGACATCCGGCCTCAACCATGATGGAGATGATTGGGCTGGTTGTAAACGCACCAGATGCTTGGCGCACTACATCGTTATATGTGGGTCCAAGGATTCGTACCGTATCTTCAAAGTTAATGCTAGTGAGTCCTAAGCCAAAGAACAGTTTGGACACAACCAACGCTGAGCCAACCTTTAGCAGGGTCGTTGGACTGCTTCTCTTCAACCGGTGCCCTAGGATTTGCAGGATATGAATCTTTCTGCTGCAACTTCTTTTGAAAGAGTTCAGACCTCGTTTTCGATGCTGTAGGAGACAGGCTTGTAATAGCTTGGATTTGGTTGGGGCGCTAGAAAAACCAACGCTGAAAGCCCAATCCGTAGCGCCGTTGACACCTTTCCTCAGCGATTTACGAAATATTCCGTGATTTTTTCCCTTCACTATAAGAATGACATCGTCGGCATACAGCAGAATATCGACATCAGGTGGCTTTTTATTGAAAATTGGTTGCATGGTCACTAGAAACAAGGTCACGGACAGTATGGATCCTTGCGGAACCCCATTTTCCGCTTTTCTGAGGCTTGAAGTGGTTCCGTTAGCAGCCACTTGGAAGTACCTATCAGACAGGAAGCTAGATATAATGTTCATCATTCGTCCAGATATTTTCCAATCTGCTAGGGTGCGAAGAATGCCGGATCTCCATGTCGTGTCGTAGGCTTTCGACTATTTCCACGTGTTCATCGTTACCGAGACTGATGAGAGATTCTAGCTTGGCTAGATGAGTGTCGACACCTTTTCCAGTACGGAATGCGTGTTGGCATGGATCCAATTTTTTTGTAGCTTCCAGTTCAGTGATCAGGCGGTGGTTCACGATTCTTTCAAACAGCTTAGAAGAGTTATCGGTCTGTAGCCATCTGTTTTGCTACGGTCCGCATCAGGCTTTGGTATGGGTATTACTGTACCTAGCTTCCACTGCTTCGGAAACGTGCCATTGTCCCAAACCCTATTTAGGAGCTCTAACAGGGCAGTTTTGGCAGAGAATGGTATCCGTTGCAGCAGAAGGTAGCTTATTTTGTCAGCACCAGTTGAGCAGCCTTCTCTACGATCAAGAGCCCACATCAGTTCTTCCATCGAAAAATCTACGTTGTGGTCAGATAACCGATTTGTTACAAGTTCTCAGCATCAGTAAGGCTAATTTTGACATAAAGTTATGTTAACTGTCAAAATAACAAACCTGCAAAATGCGTGTCGATCCTGACACAGCACGCCCGCCCCGTTGCCGTGAAGCGAGCTTGATCGTAGCATCGCCACACATTTTGCAAATATCAATTCTAATATAAAAGTTTAAGTGTATGCATCTTAATCATTCTGTACTGGTAATCATACTTTAAAATATTTTGCTATTATTAATATTGGAAAACTGGATAAAACTGGGTGATTTCTAAAAAACTGGGTGAATTCCAAAGAATCCAGTTTAAACTGGAATGTTGGCATAATCTCGGGCATCACTGCTTTGTACATCATAATACACGATGAATAGAAAATCGTGAAAATTTTACCCAAAAAATATTATGAACAAATCGCCCCATTAAAATTAATTCTGCAATTTATGTGATGGCACATCAGTCCTTTCGAGATTTTCACGACATCATATTTTACCTTTTACGTCAGGCTGATCGACACTAAATATTGGTATCAGGAACAGAACTTGTTATGCATAAGTTATTTTGTACCGCTCGGGATCCTATTTGACCAAATTAACTTATTATCAGACGTAAATGGCGGCAGAAAAAGCAAGCATTATGAACAGAATGGTAATAAATTTTTGTATTCTCCCTATCTGAATTAGGTCAACACGTAACAGTAATGCTCAAATGCACTGATCCACCATCGTCCCAAAAGCTGAAAAAACCTCCAAGAATAGCCGAAGCTTTTTGGATACTATCCAAAACACTTTTAAGAAGCAAACCATCATATTCACGCGCTCACTCTCACACTCCGGTTGCCGCCAAGCCACCCGCACCGTTCAAACGAAACCCAAGTAAGTGGGGTCAGTTTCCATGCCGGAACATCATCGTTCGGAGGGGGGATGGCGGATGGCAGCGCCCGAGCGGATGGAAATGATATCGGAAGCAGACGACAGCAAAGCAGAGATGGTAGTAATTTCCGCAGCGGATTCGACCTTCTCTTCTTCACGCTGTGTATGTCTGCTGTGCTCTGGCCAAAAGAGTGGACTCGCAGCAGGAAGGGGATCCGGGCTGTTGAACCAGAATGTCTAACCAAGTACAAAGCACAAAGCAAACCCTCCGAAAGAAAAGGGAAGTGGGACTCACTTTTTGCCGAACCGACTTGGTTAGTGTGGTGAATTTTCCGGCGTGTTGCTGCGGGTGGTCCTCGTTGATAATCCCAGGACGTCTCTCGTTGACGGTTGGATGGTTAGGATATTCAAACTGTCAGCTAAAATTTGCGTTGCCTCCAGTGATGGCCTGCCGAATTCACACTCACGCACTTTTCTCCCGCCGCAAGCACTGTCAATTTCCACTAGAATTTTCTTCTTCACTCATGCAGGATTCACCACATCACTGTCGCAAACGGACAACCGGTACGTAGAACTTTTCTAGGTTAGCAAACTTTGCACGGCAGATTAGCAGAATCGATTTAGTTGTCATACACATTTTTGTGGACAAGTTTCTACTTCACTTCACTACATTATTTCCTGACGTGCCTTCAACTCGCCGGGGTGGTGGGCGGTTTTCCACCCACTTGAGTTCGCTTGCCTTCGACGCTTTCGTGTATCTCACTCTCGCTCTTCAAGCACACCGATCACGTTCGAAATTGAGCTAATGTTGCAACATTTCCTCCAACCGACACCGCAAACAAATATTTTCTATGTGCTGATACTCCCCATACCGGGCAAAAACAACCCACCACTAAATGACCGCAATTTTTCAGCTTTTCACATTTTCCGATTTCACTCGCACGTACACCCGTCGTCTGGGCTAGGAAAAACAGCCAAAATTAAAAGCTTTTTCCACTATTATTAATCAATTTTCATCCACCCAAAAGCGACCGACAACAACGAGCGGAAAAAAAACGCACACTCCCACTTCCATTTGGCAGGGCTCGCCGAAATCACATTCGCATTCCGTCTTCACTCGACACAGAGGGAGAATCGATTATCACCACCACCACCGCCCGGGGGATGACCGCAAATATCCACACGGGGTTTCACGTCACCAGCTGACTGCAAATCACACTCTCGCGCCCCTGAAATCTTCTCTGAATGACAGCCTAAAATCGAAAAAAAAAACGCGTGTGTGACCCTTTCGCAGGGGTGTAGCAAAAATTGGGCCTCAGATAGGTTCTCGACCAAGCACACGAACCGCAGATCGTAGAAAAACACGGTTATCTCGGAACACCGTTCGAGAGCAACTGAGGTGGCCTACTTCCAGGCGGCACCGGATCGAGTACTACAAACGTCTGTCGTCGTCGTCGTCGATGTTGCTGTTGTTGTTGTTGTTGGAAAAGAGGAATTCCGAAGGCGCGCTTGTAGCCGAAAATACGGAGGATAGGACGGATCGTGTTTGGGAAAATAACAAAAACACTACAAGGGATTTGCGAAAACCATGTGGGTGAGGGCGTCCGGTGGAATGGGTGGCGAGGAGCTATTGGCGAATATCTCTCTGGATTCTCTGGTTTCTGGTGGGTGAGGTGGAAATTGAGAGAGCGAGAGCGATTGATGCGAGAGCTGAGATCCCGTTTGTTATTGTTCAAAGTGACGAGAGCCGTTACTAAAGGTGTCACTCTCTAACCGTTAGTAGTAGTAAAAATGTCCTGACAGTATGGCATCGACGGTTGAAAGTATTGGAATAACCGATTGAAGTATGAAATCTGAAAAAAAGCTACAAAGGACAGCCCTATGGGGTTGTACACAATGGTGACATAGAACTACGTGATCCTATATAATAAATGTTATTTGTTAACTGCAGTAGTCGCTTGTGTTTTGTGTACGAATAGGAATTTGAGCGGGTTTCTCTCTGTTTATACTCTTCAGTATGACGCGCTTGGCATAGATGGCCCCCAGCGACTCACGAAGAGCTACTGATTCCGATCAATAGCGGTGCGGCTTTTTCCTCCTTCTATGGATGCTCATGTGGGCTGCAGCTCGCTACTTGCAGGCAGCCTTTCGTTGTGTACTGAAGAACAATGTTCAACGCCACGCGCCGAAAGCACTGCTGCTGCTGCTGATGCCGACGACCAGACTGAATCCAATCAGCGGTTGAGGGCAGCCTTGATAGCTAGCTGCTTGCGGGGAGCCTTTCGTTGTGTACTGGGTAACATCAACACTCACCACGTGGTGATTGAATGAACACCGTTTGGTGATACCGGATGGAATTCAACTTTGAAATCTGTGTTAGGGAAATCGCAGGCAATTTGTGATAATTTTAATTTTCATAGCAACAGTTGCAAATTTAATCAATTTTAAATAGAGACATTTTGAAAAATGATAAAGTCTTAAATTTCACAGATGCGTAGAAATATTTATGATCGATTGGTGATAAAGCTATTGAAGTTGATCCAGGGGCAGCTGAGTTATTAACGTTCAAAATCTTTCATAATTTCGTTACATTTTCGGTTTTCACAAAGTGCACCCCCATATAGAAATCACAGACCTAGTCCTACGTCAAAAAAAAAATGCAGGATGAGAGCATCATGACAACTCTAGAGTAAAGTCAATGTAACCAAAAAATATTGGTTCTCTGACCATGTAGCAAACGTTTTATCCAGGCCGGTCAAATGACGATGACCTGCGTCGTAAATTTCCTCATCAAAGTCGATGAGCTGAGACTTGAAATCTGCATTTTGAAGATTCAGAAAATCTTGGACTTCTGTAAATATCACAATGTAACTCGGACGTTGTATTTTAGGGAATTGTCATTCTCAATCGGTGTGCTTCGTCCTAAAGTTCAAGCATATCCTGTCGATCGACAATTCTCTAATGGGTTCTTGTGAAATTTAAAGCGTTAGAAGATCGATGATTCAACAGCAAATGAGCAAATTTTAGGCTTATTTGGTTTATTTTTCTTTTACAAATCGCATTGTTATAAATAAAGGGCCTTTAAAAAACAAGCGTTTTACTAAACTTGCTCAAATTTCCTACTGACTGAGCCAATCAAACCCGAAACCATACTGTCATAGAACAGTACTTAGGATATTATTTGTAGGTGGTAAACTCTAATTTTTTTTTCTATATACCTCCGAGCCCCCCCCCCCCCCCTTTCTCTTTAATTTTCACGATGAAAAGAGATATAAATTTTGCAATAAATTCTCACTATCATACCAGTTTTTCTGAAATAGCATCAGAACGTCTCTGAGCTTGGTAAAAAAATTTCTGAAGTTCACAATACTTTCCTGATGTTATTAGATTTTCCCTGCGGTTCGCAGAAGGTGCTTAAAGTTTGCAGACCATTCCTGGTGTTGGAAGAGTTTTCCTGATTTTTGTAGATCTTTCATTGTGTTTGCAGAGCTACATTTAGGTTCGTATTACTATGCCAGGGTTCACGAAACTCTCTTCAAATTCCTCATGCTCGCAAAACGTTCATACAATTTGCCAAAAGTTCCTGAAGCTCGCAGAATTTTCCTGAAGCTCGATCGCAATATTTCTCTAAAGTTTGCAATACTTTTCCTAAAGCCTAAAGAGTTTAGTTTAGTTTTCTTTATTAACGAGACTTTCAGCCTTGGGCTGGTTCGTCTCGTACGTAGATGGCGCCTTCGGAAGGGAGCCCCCCTAATTACAAAGTTTGTAATGGGATGGGACTCCAGAAGGGAGTTCCCCTAGTTACAGAGTTTAGGTTGGAGGCCCCATAAGGGAGCCCCCAAATAGCAGAGTTAAGAAGGTGGGAGCCCCAGAAGGGAGCCCTTCCTATAATCATGATTTTAGTTTTATCAGAATTGTTTCTGTCGTAGTTTCTGTCATGACTGTCGTCCGGTTGTTGTTATCGTATAAATCATCCGTTGGCGTTATCCATAAGAGAAATAGAATGTGGGTCAGATATTGTCGGTCGTTCATGTTTATTTTCAGGTGAGAAGCTAAGGTTGGTCTTTGTGGGTTTGTGCAGAATCTGATCGGGTGCAATATACAAATGCTAGATGCTTTCCAGTAGTCCGGCTTTTCGGAGAAAACCGAGTAATGCCGCGGTTCTTGTCGGTTCCTCACTAAGGGCATCTCTGATAGTTCCCGGTATGTCATATAATTTTCGGGGCCCCTCATATTGTGGGCAGTGGCATATAATGTGCTCTACCGTGTGCGGGACATGGCAGATGTCACACATCCTGCGGAAAGGGCCGTTCCCAGTAAAGTTATGGGAAATGTTGGTATGCCCCGTTCTTAGGCGAGACATCACGATCTGGGTACGGTGGTCTCGTGGGTCCTCCCATCTATGTGTGTCGTGCTTGATCTTTCGGATGAAAGTATCCCTTGAGCGAAGCCAATCGGCTGACCAGGATTCCCAGATCACCTTTGAAACCCAGTGTTTCAAATCCTTGGCTGGGACCTCCCGGATGTACAAAGGAACTTCTCTTCCGGAAGCCACCAAGTGAGCCTCTATATTCCCACAGATACCACAGTGTCCAGGAATCCAAATAAAAGCGGTTTTGTTGGGTGCATATTTCTGAATACCCTAGATCCAGGGATGCTTGGAAATATCCGATGCGAGGGCCTCGACTACACTGGCGGAATCCGTGAAAACCGCGATTCGTCTGCTGGATGGTGTAGTGGCAGCGATTAAAGCAGCGGCAGTCTCTGCCGAAAAGACGGAGTACTGGTCACCGGCTACCGGGTGGCATACAGACATTTGAGAGTCTGTAATTCCTATACCGACACGCCCACGAGCTGCGGAGCCGTCGGAATATCGGATTGTATGACCGTTGTATACGGTTCGTTGAAGTTCTGCTACCGATTTCACTAGTGCGGGGGAGTTGGATCCTGCCCCAAACTTCTTCTTAATTGCCAAGTCAATTACGGGTCTGGGCAGGCTCCAACCCCTGGCTTCGCACCAGTGGACCCTGGACACTGGGGGGAGCTCCAGATTGGCAGTTGCAGAAAAGAGTAGTTTTGCCTGGGTGAGGAGGAAAACTCCCTCGTCAGGGCCAACTGTCTTCTGGGCGAAACTTATTGCCCGCTTGCAGATAGTTTGTGTGCTCATCCTTCTGCTGAACTTCCGCTTTTAGGTCAACGATCATCTTCCGGAGTTCGTGGAACTCTGAGTTGTTGTTACCCACTCCGTCAGTTCTTTGGGTGCTCTTGAGTTTCGAAATTTCTCTATCCTTCTCCAAAATCTGCTTCTTGAACTGGTCTGAAAGCAAGCTGTAGTTTTTCGATAATTGTTCCACCTTCGAAGACAGGTCCTCAATGATTTTG